TGTGCATGACTGAGCAGGCCCTGACCACTGTCTTCACAGCTCCCCTGCCGACAATAAGCAATTATCCTGAGTGATCGTGATGACTCCATAGGATTGACTGCTTCCCAGATTGTAAATGCACAGACCGCTGACAGTGAGCAGGCCAAGCGGTCAACTGAGTGTGGCCAAGCCCCTGGTCTGTAAGTGGACTGTGTCCATCACTGATGAAATTGGGACCACCAAGCCAACAGGGACACCCTCCCTGGCCCTAGCGCATGTTTGGGGTGAGCACCAGCAACCCCCCCCCCCCATTTTCTGACAAGACAAGACATGGATGGTACACTCGCGATAAACGAATGAGCACTAAAGGAGCAAGAAAACAGCCCTGCAATGCAGCCTGGTCCTGTCTGTGAGCTGACAGCCTGTCCCTGTTTGTCCTAAAGTGTGTCCCTGCAATATGCATTGTCAGTGCAGCCTACAATGCGAGTCTGTGCTTCACAGTGCCTAGCTAGTTTATCAGAGACACACACTGTGGTTGTGAGAGCTTGTCAAATGTCAGCTGCAAATGTCCATGGACAAGGGAATGTGAGGTTATTGCCCGTGGATCATGCCCTGAGATGCCATTCGGACCTAAGCAACATGAAGGTCCTTTGGAGAAGGCAGTTGTCAGGTCCCCACTCTCAATTCAAAGACAAGTCTATTCCTGTCCAGCACATATGGCAACTTTGGTACGATGGAAAGCTGACTATTGATGAGGTGAGTCGGCCTGTTAAGAAGGCATTGAACAAAGCTATAATCACTTAATTGGCAACCCACCACTGCCTAGCAAGAAACCAGCCTCACTGCCTGGCAAATGCATAAACGATACGGCAAAATGCTTGCAGCATTGAGATAAGTCCCACCAGACGTCTCGTCACCCAGATCCCAAAGGATTCAGCCCCAAATTAAAGGCTTGTGCCCAATAAGCAGATACACTTGGGCTGGTGCTACATCGGTGTGACCTTTTCTTCACACTGTAGTAATCCACATGTTTTTGAACTCAGATTACTACATCTGTTAACATCATTTCCACCCATGTGCTCTGACTGATTGCAGGAGACCTGGAGCAGCTAAAGTGATGAATCTTAAATGGACCAATGGAGGCTGCTCGAAAAAAAGTGTCAAAAATTTGTGAGGCTTTGCCTTTGCACAGCTGATTTGGAGGAGGCTGGATTTTTTTAGTTGGAAAATGATTTGTTGCTGGTGAGCTGGAATCAAAGATTGGAGGGAAAATGGTATTTAGGCGACAGGTACAGATGAGGTGAATCTCACAGAGTGGCTAGGTAGGTCATTCAAAGCCAGAGGTCCCCGAAATGAAAATAGACAGAAAGCAGAAGACAAAGTAGAAGACTGCATATAACAGTTGGCAAGTAGATAACACAAATGTGAACTTAGCCGAATGGAAAATGTCCACAGGGGGATGTGATAAAGGGAACAAGAGAGGCAAATGGAGTCCATGAGAAGAGGGTGGCAAAAGGTAATCCAAAGCCTTTCATAGACCTGTAAACAGGACAAGTGTAGGAGAGGATAGCTGTGGTAGTTTTGGGACCGTGACGGAAATTCACACAATTGAATTGTGTGGATATTCTCCAGGTGCTCCAGTTTCCGCCCACAGGCCAAAGATGTGCAGGTTAGGTGGATTGACCATGCTAAATTACCCATAGTGTCCAGGGATGTGTAGGTTAGGTGGATTAGCTGTGGAAACTTACAGGGATAGGGTTGGGACGTCTGGGTCTGGGTGGAATGCTCTTCAGAGGTTCGGTGTGGACTCGATGTGATGAATAGCCTGCTTCTACACTGTAGGCTCGCTATGATTCCATGACACATGCTGATAGAGTACATGTTGGAGTTACTGGGAAGAAGTAGTTAGCCAAGACAAAATTAAAGTGGAAACATTTTAGATAATGTAGAGATTGCCAAATCTGGAATTTATAAATCATCAGGACTGGATGTGATGTGTCCAAGTAGGATAGGGAAAGTGAGAAGTAAATTGCACTGACCGTAATCTTGCAATTCAGTTTAGATATTAAGGTTGTGCCTCAGAGCTTGGGAATTGCAAATATCAGACCTCTTTTAAAAGGGGTCTGAGGATAAACCCAATAACAACAGGCCAGTAAGCATAATTTCAGTGGTAGGAAAGCTTTTGGAAATGAAGACTGGGAACAAAATTAACTGTCACTCAGACAGACATGGATTAATTAAAGAGAGCTGGCACAATTTTGTTAAAAGAAAATTGCGTTTAACCAACTTCAAAGAGATTTTTGAATGAGGAGGTGAAAGAAAGAGTTGATAAAAAAAACATTGTGGTTATTGTGAACATGGATTTCAGAAAGAGATGATAGATTAAGTGCCACAAAAATTGATTTTTTTTATTCATTAACAGGATGAAGGCATTGCTGGCTAGGTAAGCATTCATTGCCCATTCTTAATTGCCCAGAGGACAGTTCAGAATCAACCACATTGCTGTGGGTCTGGAGTCACATGGAGGCCAGACCAGATAACGATTGCAATTTCCTTCCCTAAAAGGACATTAGTGAACCAGATGGGTTTTTACAACAATCGACAATGGATTCATGGTCATCATTAGATTCTTAATTCCAGATTTTTTTTTAAATTGAATTCAAATTCCACCATCTGCCATGGCGGGATTCGAACCCGGGTCCAAAGAATGATATCTGGGTCTCTGGATTAACAGTCCAGCAATAATATCACTAAATAAAAGGGATGATAGCAGAATGGATATAAAGTTGGCTGAGTGATAGAAAACAGTGAGCAGGGGTGAGCAGCTACCTGTTTTATTTCCAGACTGGAAGAAAATATTTATTGGGGTTTCGCTGGAGTATAGGAGTGTGAGCAATGTGTCAATGTCTGGGTCAGTGTTAAAAGCTCCTTCCACTGTGATAATGGAAGAGACCACATGACAGAGAAACTTGGACGAAGAGCCAGCATTGTCTCAGCAGACGCATCTCTGCAAAACTTGACATTATTCCTTAAAGTGGAATTAAATATTTATTTTAAAACCTATTGAAGACTTATTAATCTCCCCTAAGATAGTCTAAGCAAGTGTACAACAAGTAATATGTGGATGCTTTTTCTTGATCTGTATCAGGATCTAAATTTGGGTACGCAGGTCACAATTTCATAATTTATGGATGACACTAAACTTGTGAACCTTGAGGAGGATAGCAATAGACTTCCAAAGGATATATCATGCTTGGGTGGATGTGACGCTTGTGGGATTCAGCACTAATTCAACAAACTGGTACATTTTAGTTGAAAGAGTTAGAAGAAGTGATATCAACTCAGCACTTCTAAAAGAAATAAAGACCAAAGGTATATGCACACACATCACTGAAGGTGGCAGGGCAGTAGGTTACAAAAGTTCTAAAAAGCCATTTGCGACTCTAGATTTTCAAATAAACAGAAAGGACAGCAATACCAGAAAAATGTGATGATCTCCTGGACTCCACTGTCTACCTCACACTCACAGTACCACCACTCACTCTAACATTGTCACAGTCCATGCATCTCATTGAAGCCTATGGCCTCAGCATTGCATGCACAATGATCACTGAAAGACCAATAGCCACCACATCCTTTCAAACTGCTAACCCTTCCCTCCTTCCTTCAGTACTTCCTACTCACCGAACTGGGGAAGCTTCAGCAGCTCATATGGATAGGCATGATCACAAACTGCGCCTGTTCCCATTCATTTCACACTCGAGTCTTATCTTTTATTTTGGGCTATAGAAGCCCATGACCAAGCCAAAAGGAGAACCACTGCAGGGGTGGGATTTGGCAGACATCAAGCCTCTCACTCCCATTGAGTTTGAACTGGCTGTACAGGTCAAGGATTAGTCCCTGTGGGAAGGGAGAGCCAGCAATGGCCCACCAACGGAGTCAGCAGCAAAATGTTCTGCTCTTCTCAGATGAGCACCAACACTAACACCTGTCCTGTGTATACTTTCTCCCCTTTTCACCAACTAATTCCATCCTTTCACTTATACAGGCACGAGTGTTCCCTCAGGCCAGAGAAGGCTAGCCTGAACCCTTATTCACCATCTCTGAGGAGAAATGAGGGTATACTGACACAATGTTCACCTGTTTCCTTGGCCAGAACAGAAACAATCACCTTGATTGGTTCTCTATCTAGATTAGACCCAGAGGCATAACCTGGTGAGCACATCACTCACACATGTGTCTGCAGCTGGTGCAGGAAGAAACACACCAGGTCTCAAGATTGCTGGAGACTAGGCAAGTGCTCGGTCCCAGGTCGAAGATATGGCCCTGTACTTAGCCATAAACTGGAGTCATGATCAACCTGCAGAGACAGACAGTGAGCTAGAAGCCCATGGTAGCATAGAATGTAAGATGGAGGAGTCTGTCCGTGTTCTCAATTCTCTGTTGGCTCTGACTTGTGGGCACAAAGCCGTCTCCATAGCAAGGGTAATGGCAGCCTTGGAGATCCAAGTCCAGTAGAACACTGAGTGGCTGCCAAATATGCAGTCAGAACTGCATTTTGTTGTCTTAGCAACGGGCTCTGAGCAATGGTGGCAAAGTGAGAATGGACAAGGGATCTCAACATCACTCCAAATGCCCCGTTCTGTTAAAGAGACATGGTGGTGGCAGCAGGCACCCACAGGGAGGAGGAGGGGCAGATAGATACAAAGGCAGCTTCTTCAGGACACTCCAGATGTACCATGGGGAGGCGATGGCCGAGTAGTATTATTGCTGGACTGTAAATCCAGAGACCCAGATAATGTTCTACGGACCTGGGTTCAAATCCCACCACGGCAGATGGTGGAATTTGAATTCAATAAATATCTGAAATTAAGAGTCTAATGATGACCATGAATCAATTGTTGGGGAAAAGTCTGCCACCCTTACCTGGTCTGGCCTACATGTGACTCCAGACCCACAGCAATTGGTTGATTTGAACTGCCCTCCAGGCAATAAATGCTGCCTAGCCAGCAACGCCCTCATCCCATGAATGAATAAAGAAAAAAAAAATGCCCCTCTATGCTTTTCCTGCCTGTGACCCCAATGCTTGTAGCAGGTGAGGCTGAGGACGGTGAGTCTCCAGCTGAGCAGGGTACTCTCAGTAGGCTTGGACCTTCTTGGCTGATAGGTGCTGGGGGATGACTGCCCCAAGTGTTCAAAATCTCCAGAGTGTACTACCACCCAGCGAACTCCCTCCAACGTGGCTGTGGACAAGAGGCCTGCACCTAGACATATTTGGAACAGGAGAAAATTAAAAACATTGAAGTCATATTAATGCTAATGGTGTTCAATCAAGTTATAAATACAACACTTTTGTAAACACACATACACACTTGCACTGTAGCAACTTTGGTCTTATTGTGCCTGGGAGGTGGTTAAGTTCTCACATTGAAAACACACAAGGAGGATCTTCAACCATTGAAAGGATGTGATACATTGCAAATGCTAAGCATTGTTTATTCTTTCATTGTTCATAGCTCCCTTCAGCCCTTCTCAGGAATGTTGTCACCCTGAAGTTACTAAGATGGTCAATTGCCACCTCATGTTCATTTTTACTCATCATACAATGGGACTGGTGTGCAAATCACAGCCCATAGCAGTCTGAGCAGATAGGATGAAAAGGCACTGCAAGGGATAAGTACAGTCTCGTTGCAATGTGAAACATTGAAGGCTTGGTGAGGAACAATTTCTCATAAGGAGCATTTTCAATTTGAGTGACAATTTGATTATCCTCATGGTGCGGGGAGGAGAGGACGGGGATGGGTGACCTCACTGAATTGACTTTCACGTCATTGGCACATGGATTATATTACTGCAAACATGCAGCGAAATGATCTAATGAAAATACTCACTGTGTAACAGCTTCCAATGTTGCCATAGGGGAAATCTGGAACATACATTTTATATTTCACAGAAGCAAGGACATCAGATTCATAATAGAATTAACATGGAGCTTTTGTATTGCCTACAGGGCTGGATAGCAACAATAATTGAGACTACTGAACGTAAGTAAGACACATGGCACAGGGCTGGATGCCAGTTGCACAAATAACATTAGAGCTTGCAATGGGAAATGTCCACCTAGCTCAGTCATCTTAGGTACCTTTCAGATATCTACAACAAAAACTGATGATGCGATGATGCACTCCGATCCTCCTGGGTGGATGATGTCATGGTCTTTCTCCACAGACTGAGCACCAGGCAGTAGCAGTTTCTGCTGGCCTTAGCCAATTTTTGTGTTTGCTGCACACAGATCTGAAAAAGGACAGGCAGAATATAACATGCTATTAAAGGCACAACCGAGCCCTAACATCATTTGCAATGAAGTTGAACGGCATGCCGTCACAAAGAACAGTTGGAAGGTTGTGCTACAGATCCATTGTACTGCATTGATAAAGACTTTTGAGCCAGCATCATTTGGTTTAGTCAACAACTTCTGCATTTGCTCTTTGCATGAATCAGCTATGACGAGACCCTCTCTTACAGTACCACCTCAGTAATAAGGTGATAGCGGGCTTACTGTTGTTGGTCTGGGTATTGTAGCTATAAAGCAAAGGCTTCAAGTTCTTTGGCCAAAGTGCTTTGGCCATTTCAGAAAATGAAGCTCTAATGTAAGTGCCTTGTAACTGTGTTGTTGAATTGAAAGGTTACAAGGTTCAATCTGTGAGCACAATTTACTAGGAATGAATCCTCATTATCCCATTTGTGAATTTGATTACAATGTTGACTTCCAGAGTAACTTTGAGTCAGAAACAGATTGTGGGCATTGTTTAATCAGTTGCATAATAATGAGTGCAGTCATTACTTTGAAGGGCTCACCTTTCAGTATTTGCATTCCATCCCCTTTAATAAAAACGTCACTTACTCCTTCCACTTTACAAATTATTTGTTCCAGTTTCAGACCTATTGCAATTGTTTTCAGATCAATATGGGGGAATCCAACTTTGTATGAGCATGAGCAACTTCACAGGTTCTACCTGTGACCCATGATTTATTCCCCATTCTTATTAGTGGGAAATCAAGGGTTATGGTGAAAAGGCAGGAAAGTGGGCATGAGGTGTGTCGGATTAGCATGATGCTATTGAGAGATAGAGCAGGCATGAGGGGCCAAAGACCCTACTCCTGTTCCTATTTCATATGTTCTAATTAATGATATGCAAATGCATGCTAATAGGCTTTTGGTCTCCGATAGTGAGAAATTGATCTTACATCTAAGAAGTGGAATTTAATTTCAAAATTTTCTGTCAACTGTGCACATTGTACTGTTGCACTCTTACTTGTTCAAGTCATCACATTCATCATTATCCTTGCCACTTCAGAGGAGAAAATCTTACCCATAGTTTATAAAAGCAAGGCGTCTATAAGGCATTTATAAGTTACTGGTTCAGCCTCAATTATAGTATTGGAGTTGTTCCCTTTTTAGGAAGAATTTGAAGGCTTTAGAAAGGGTACAGAAAAGGTTTACAAGATTAATTCCAAGGATAAGGGCCTTCAGCTATCTGAACAGATTGGAGAAACTGGGTTATTCTCCTTAGACAGTGTAATGTTCAGAGGAGATCTGGGAGAGGTATTCAAAACCATGAGTAGACTAGGCAGAGTACTCAAGAGGAAGTGTTCCCATTGGCAAAAGTGTTGCGAACCAGAAGACTCACACCAGTGGTGGTTAGTTAAACAGCCAATGATGATAACAGAAGATTATTTATATGCAACAATTAGTTAGGATTTGTGGGCACTGGCTCAAAAGATGGTGGAGGCTCATTCAGTTGTGGTTTGCAAAAGGAATAAGGACAAAATATTTGTGGTCAAATGACCACAGGCCTAAATTGACTCATAGCCAGAAAAATCAGGCTTGACAGAAAATTGACCAAACTAAATTAAACAGCAGCCAGCAGTTATAGCTACAGACAGCAGCAGAAACCAAGATCAAAGAAGGTTACAAGCAGCCCAAGGGTTGTGTATTGGAGATATATCGATCAGATATTCTGGCATCTTGACTGCCTGAGTATCTGCACTGTAAAAAAGTGTCGGGTGTTGGCATAACCCCATTGGATGATTTGAAACCAGCTCCTGACCCCATTGGCCAAAGGCCACAGAACATTCTGGAAGGTTAGGGAGCAAGGGAGAACAAGAACATACACCTGGACAGCATGTCTTAATAGAGGCCCAGTAAAGACCCAGTGAAGACTCAGTGAAGATACCGTGAAGACTCGACTTGACCCAGCAGCGGAGCTCCAACCGCCTGGAGAGAGATAAGAGAGAGTGAGAGAGAGACATAAATGAGACAATTCGCCCTGACCAGTAAGACCCACCTTTGTGGAAGAGAGCCAGTCCTATGTCAGATGGATTGCTCTGGGTAATAACCTTTCTCAGACAGATCAAGCTGGCTAGAGAGCCAATATCGTGGGAGTTTGAGAAATGCTCACATAGTGCTTAATAAGAAATATTTTGTTAACAAAATCAAGTTGAATCACAAATTGATTCCCGTATCCCTTTGTGCACTTGGATAAGTGTTTTTAATACACAAACTGGTCAAAATGTCCCAAAAATGAACAACTAGCTGCAGGGGAAATACATTGTAGAGCTGCAGTGAAATGGTGGGGGAGTGATATTAATCACATTGATCTTGCGGACAGCCAGCAGGGATCTGCTGGACGAATGATCTCCTTCCTTGCTGTAACCATTCTAAGATTCCATATGATTCCCACTGAACACAAAACAACATAAAGAGGATATGATAAAATAATGGGAGAACTGACTACATGTCATATTGTTCGTCAGCTATTAATAAAAGGAGAGCTGTTGCATAATTCTGAAAGATCCAGTCATGCAAGTCGAACTGTCAATGGATAATCATGTAATTTCTACCAATTGCAGAATTTCCTTGGATATTTGCCAGTTCAGTTTTTATAATTGGCTTAAAAGGCCCAGATGATGACATACAATTGTCAACAGATTCTGTGCCATTTCAAATCAGGTACAGCATGACTCAAGGTCTAGGAAATGAACACAGAATCAAAAATGTGATTAGGATTGTTTAATTACCTGGAGGATAACCTTGGACATGGAGTAATTTGGCAAATTGGCTTGTTTTGATGTTGTAATTTGTATGTACCGAGAGTGAACTCAGATGAATCGGTTGATTGACTGATAGATCAAATGAAGTTTAAAGAGTCATTAATCCTGAATAAACCACTGAATTTAGCAAAACTTGGATGACTTCTTTTTCCTATCATTTTAGGAAAAGGATCAATTGCCAGAAATGATGTAAGTGTCCAGTATTTATGCAGAAGCCCTTTTTACAAACCCTGTAGTTTTGATATGCTAATCCTCTTACAGTAAATGTGACAGGCAGATTTAAGAACCACAATTTCAGGAGCAAGTTTGCACAACATTTGGAAAAGTTCTGAACTGAACTAACATACAAAATTATGAAGTGAACAGATTTAGAATTGGATTATTAATAACATTTTACTTTCCAAATACAATATTTGCATCATGTTCCAGTATTATGAACTTTTAGTCAATATGTTTTAAAACAAGCCATTAAAAGGATTGCTGCAAATGATTTTATCTTTATGATTTGAGCTTCAGATAGTCATAAGTCTCAAGCAAATACCTATTTAAATATGATATTCATAGCTTTCTGAGGAGTTTGCACATCCTTTTTTAGATGCAAAACAACACAGAAATATAACACCCCAACTGGCCTGTGTCTCTCTTTATCATAGACAAAAATGAAAATTGAAACTCAATGTGTATAAGAGAAATGGAAAGAGATCCTCTCAATGTTCCACTGTTTTATGATGGTTTCCCCAATCAAAACTAGACTGGGCGAATATCACAGTGTTAAATGATAACACAGGGTGTGTCAACAACATATACACCGCACTTTATTTGGAAAAAGAAAGTTGGAGCAATAGGCTTTATTTGATAAGGAAACAATTTTGGTGCCTGTATTTTTTAAATCAGCAAATGCTGTTCTACAGGCAAACTGATCCCCCAGGTTGAAAGTCATCCAATCAGCCAAGGGAGTAAGCAGAAATACTTTAAAAGTGGGATATGCTAATAGAGAAAAAGATTCCCCAATCTGTGCTAATTTTAAGATTACCTGAGAAGCAACTTTCTCGAAACTGGAGTACAAGGATCTTCACAGCATGTTGAAATACAAGACCATTACCTCAACTTTAAAGCATTGAATCCATCAAAGAAACGTCAGATACTGAAGCAAAAGAGATTGAGAATGATTATGGATATTTTCTAAACTTGTTCAGAGATGTTATTGTACACCTCTGGAGCAGGTGAGACTTGAACCTAGGCCTCCTGGTCCAGAGATAGCAATACTACCACTCCACCATAAGACACCTTTTATTGAGCTAATTATAAGCTGTAGCATTATATTACCTTCACCTCTATCTAAACCGTATGACAGTATGTGAAGTGAGGAAGTGTAACATTGCACTAAATTTGAGGTGAGTTATAATAAATAGCCTTTTTTATTTTAAACTCACATAAACCTACAGCTGATTTTTAAAAATAGAACACTCATTCTAGTGTAAGAAAATGAACATCATTTGGAGAGAAACTACTGATAATAGGCTCTCAAAGGGAACACACACATTCTCTCCATAGCAATTAGAAATAACAGATTAAATACTTTTACTGTTAAGATAAACCAATTGAGATCAAACAACTGGATTCATTGAGATTACTAATCCACACCTTGGAACATGAGCTTTAGTTTTAGAACAGTTGGTTGTTGACCATTTATGCAACTGACCTCATTTCTTTGGGCTGGGCACAAAGCCAAGTGAAACAAAGTCATCACTTAACATGAAAACCAAAACTTTAATTGTGCAACAAGGAAAATAATGACTGCGCTCCACCAGTCTGTCATCCAAAGGACACAACCTTCTGGGGTTGAAGGGTTTGAGATATATGGAGAGGCTGAATAGCCTGGAGCTTTTTCCTTAGACAGTCGGAAGCTGGAGGTGGGGGTGAACCCTACAGATGTTTATAAAATCACGACGGGAATGGATAGGGTGAATAGACAAGGTCATTTTTCCCAGGGTAAGGGAGTCCAAAATTAGACGGCATAGGTTTAAGGTGAGAGGGGAAAGATATAAAGGGGGCCTGAGGGGCAACCTTTTCATGCAGAAGGTGTTGAGTGTATGTAATGAGCTGCCAGAAGAACTGATGGAGGTGTGTACAATCACAACATTTAAAAGGCATTTAGATGAATATATGAATAGGAAGGG